TTTTTCATAAATAAACACAGATCGATTACCATTCCATCTTTATTTAAAGATTATTTCTATCGACCTCAGCCTATGATTGTAACCACGTTGTAATATTTAACGATTTTTACGTCAAAATCTGCTATTTCTCGGATATACATCCTCCTAAGCAGGTGTCCAGAATCCGTACGTCCTTCTTCCCCCGGTAAACTGTGATCGGAGGATGTGGATATAGGGTGTACTTGGGAATGGCGATGACAAATCAAATAGGCACTCTTATACATACTCTGGATATATACATAAAATGAATTTGGATATGATTTAATATGAATAGCAGTTTTAATTTATGTGGCCAATATTGACGGACGGATGTACTGTACAGATCAACGGACAGACAATTTCATTGTATATTAAACATAAACACATCAACAGCAAAACATTTAACGAATGCATACACATGATCAATGTTCATCAAAGGGCATATGCTTATTTCTCAGATTTCTCTGACGTTGACTCTATCTCCTTGTCAGAGAATGATGATGAAAATATAAGTTGCCGTCTCATACTTCAAAATCTCTATTTTCAATTTTATTTGGAAAATGTTTCTCACATAAGAGCATCATTACATCGACCCAAGTAAACCTAAAAGGAAGCTTTGTTTGGCAAAACTTCGACAGGGAGGTGAATACCATTCGTGGGCGGGATTGGGAGATGAATGCGATTTTCAAGAGCGGGATTGGGCGGGACAATGCGATTTTTTCGATATCAAAAATATTCCCGGGTGTTATTCACCGGGAAGTATAGTATCAAGGGATAATTACGCGTAATTACTAAATAACTTTAAGATGTAAGAATATTGATAATCATTTAAAATAAGACCAATTCATTTGTGATTTATATACAAATGGTTAATTTAATATAACCGTGGCGATTTTTACGCGTGGATTGTCACAGTGGTAATGGCTGGTAATTTCGAAAACCTTTTTTTGTTATGAGGGAGACGAGTGGACACATTGTTTTCTTGGAAGTGTCCCTTTTCCCACACGACTACTGTCAATGTATGAGTAACGTCATCGGGTCGATTTTCACAAGCAAAACGGTGATTTTTCAGAATTTTTCAGGGTGCTCATCTTAATTCAATCACAACTATTATCACGATTTGTAACACGATGGTCTGATAAACTGAACCAAAGGCTGGATAACCACGGTCGGATAATTCATTTTCTCAATATCCCCTAATGACGTATTGGTGCGAAATAACGACCATGTCGATTTTCACAGAATAGATTCTACATGCACTTATATCACCCTTGGTATACGCAGCTAACGAAAATTGACCGGTACGGGTCAAAAGCTGGACCGGTACGGGTTAACGGTTTTATTTGAATTTAAAATAGCCATAACTTGCTCAATATTCGACCATTTATTACCGAGTTATGACATGTTTTCAAAGGCGTTTTGTCCTGTTACATCAACGAGTTCACGCAATTCTCAACTTATTAGCGAGGTATCAAAGCTATTTACAACCGGAAGGATCAAAAAGTATGTTGACCGAATTTAGATAAAGGCAATTTATTTTCGAATACATAAAACAACGAGAAAAATTAATTTAGTTTCAGTTATTTTCAATTTCATGAAAAATCGCCATTTTTAACAGTTATTGGTTTTCAATGTCACATGAATGAGCTTTTGTTATCGCCTATTTATTTGTGCTAGCTTTCCTCAGAGACATATAAAACATCTGAGCTTTATTGGGGGGGGGGGGGGGTGTATAGAGATATTGTATATCGTATAAGAGGCTGAAAATTTATTGTATATTGTATAAGAGGGGGCAAAATTTATCGTATATGGTATAAGAGGTGTAAAAAATATGGTATATGGTATAATAGAAAATATATGGTATATAGTATCTAGAATCAAAGAAGGCCAATTATGAAGAAATTGTACCCTAAAGTTTCCCATTGTACCAACTCTCTTACTGTAACCGTGTTGGAAACACATGAAAAAGTAGTCTCTCTAATTGGTTCCACATTCCAGGTCAATCAATACTGTAAGTTTAGAGAAAATCCTTCTCAAACTAAGAGTTTTGTGCCCTTCTCATTCAATTTTTCACAGGAGGTGTTAAATATAGTCTCAAATAAGAATCACGCCCGATGATCAGAAGAAATGAATGGAGGGGGAGTAGATCTAGCTGATTTTCGGTAGAAAATTCAACAAATCTTGAAGATTTATTTTTTCAAGAGAAAGTTTACAATTGAATGGCTAAATGAATAGACGCAGTGGATGGGGGAATATGTTACGTCTTCTTGGATTTTTTTTGAACTGTGGAGTTCTAAAATAAAAGATCCATTAAAAAAGTGCAGCGTCGCCAACGTGCAAATGCCAATGTTTTTGCTATAAATCAACCCACCCATCCATCCATATTTAATCTCAATTCTTCACAGAATATCATATAAATCAACCAACAGGGGTCTACACGACCTGTAATAAATACTTGTAAGTAAAGTAATTATCACAAAACTATTGTGATCATTGGTTTTGTAAAACACATACGTTATATAAAAAGTAATCGAAAGTTATTAAAATTGAACGGAGGGGGGGGGAGTAATGTGTCTATAAGACATATGGAAACTTCCATTAACTCCATATGTCCCCATTTTTCACTTTTCAGAGTTGTAACATCAAGTTACTGAGTAAGTGAGTTCATTTTTCCAGTACACGAATTTGTGGAAATTTCTTCCACCTTATAGACAGATTACTCAACCCCCCCCCTCCGTTCACTCCCCCCCCCTCCGTTCAATTTTAATTATTTTCGATTATTTTTTATCTATCATTTGGAAAATTATTTTTAAAAAACCGGCAAAGAATTTAGTGATAAAAACGTCGCTTATATATATTGATTACAGGTTGTGCAGACCATTGTTGCTTGATTTATAGCAAAAACATTGGCATTTGCACGTTGGCGACGTTGCGCCTTCTTTAATAAATCTTTTATCTTAGAACTCCATCAGTTCAAAAAAAATCCAAGAAGACCTAACATATTTCCCTGTGCACTGCATCTATTCATTTAGCCATTCAATTGTAAACTTTTTCTTGAAAAAATAAATCTTCAACATTTGAAAATCAGCTACTCCCCCCTCCGTTCATTTCATCAGATCACCGGGTGTGAGACTGCCAAAAGTCATTGACTCATCTTAATTTTGATGAAAAATATGGTCATTATGGCTACTCGTGTTTCTGGGTATGTGGGATAAATCATTAAAATATTTGAGTATAAAGTGTTCATACAGCGCATGTTTTAATACAAGCATCACAATGCTAATATAGCATAATATAGCAAAAGGTTTTTATTTGGTCTTCAAACTGTCATATGTTGGATTTCGGCTATTTATTGGGAATTTGAACAGGTGCATATGTTAAGCCAATGCATTAACACCAGATCAAGCACTCATCGAGGTAATACAATAATTTGGACTTTGAGACAGGGAAGGTTTTTCTGAAATGTTGTCCTGATTTTCAGCCCTTAAATTTCCACATATGTTTTTTCAATGTTTGATGCACCAATATGTTGCCCTTTGAGACACAGTTAACCTCTAAAATATGATTTATTTGGGATGAAGTGGAAAACAGTACATGTATTTCCCATGTTATTTTCCCATAGGGAAAACTCATGTGATCCATTGTTTTCAGCTAAATTTTGGTCATTCAAATTGATATCTTTAAAATCCCTGCATGAATCATATTTTCATTTAAAACGCAACAGAGTGATCGATGCAACAAACATTGAAAAACAGGTGTGGAAAGGGCTGGAAATCAGGACAACATTACAGAAAAAACATGTTGATGGGGTGCAAATTTGCACCTTCCCTGACATAAAGTCCAAATTATTTTATAATCTCTATGATTGCTTGTCCTGGAGTTAATGCATTGGCCTTACATATGCACCTGTTCAAGTCCTCAGAAAATAGCCAAAATCCAATATATGACTGAAATCTGTTGGGATACCGTCTGTGGTCCTTTAAAAGAAAGTTACTTCCAGTTACATAGAGTAGTTTTCATTCTCATCAATACATCTTTGCATTGAAATCATTCGTGAAACATGTGGTTTGACCTTTATGGAAATTTACTTAATTTTGACACACCTTTGTTTAACTTATACTGTCTTTAAGGCTGCCTTATCTGAAACCCTGATGTGTCTCTTGTTTCAAATGTTTAAACAATCAAGTCTCATCTTGCCTTTATTTCAAACTCTAATTTCCAGACTGGAGTCCAATCAAAAATGAATTATCTACATGGAAGTTTGTGAAGTCCTTTATTTCTGAAACTATTGTCAATACTTAATATTTTCAGGTAACTGCTTTACAAAATTATTGTGCATTGTGAATCTTCATTACCTATCTGATACATATTTTCCTCAGCAAACTTTATTTTCATAGAACACATGATGAATCTTTTATTCCACATTCTCAATTTTGCATCAATTATGTTTCAAGGGTTTTATTCCCTGGCTCACTATGAAGGATTCCATTGACATTAAAATAAGTCATGGGAAAGTAGGTCATAAGAAAGAGGAACACTGAGTTCCACCCATTTCAATGATGCAGGTTTTGTGCTAATTTTGAATATCTTTATGGTACTTTTACACTCGTAATGGGCTAATGGCTTTAGCAAATTGCAGAAATGTTAAAGTTAGTTTTTTGGTCAAAGTAGGTTGTGAAATCACTAAAGATAAGTCATGAATCTTATATCATAAATGTGTTTTAAATCAACTTGTTTACCTGAAAATAAAATGTGGTCACAGCTTTTCTGAACAGTCTGGAGTCTATTTCCCTTATAATAATACATTTACTTTAGTACATGGATTCTCTCCTAATATTATTTCCTTATAAATATCCAAACTTTAATCAAAAGCAGTTTCAAAATTATTGTATATTGTATTTCACCTAAAATATCGTATATGGTATAAGAGCTGTGAAAAATATTGTATATGGTATAAAAGGGGTGAAAAAATATTGTATATGGTATAAGAGAGCTGAAAAATATTGTATATGCATTTCCAAGACCCTCTATACACCCCCCCCCCTTTATTGACATTCAAGCAAGCTTCTTTGCATTTGAATGTTTTGTATTTGATCAAGTATTGAACAAAAGCAGATTTCTTCTCAAAGTGAATTGTGAATGGAAAGAAATTGCTAAAACTGCTGAATGCTATAGCACCATGTCCAAATCACTATATAGCTCAGGGGGGGGAGAATTCCCAAAGATGCCCTATCATATTAGCACGTTCGAAAACAAATTTTATAAACAGGCCTCGATTTTCCGTTGAAATGGATCTCCAAATGTTCACTGTAGTTTTATGAGTATTCTCTACAAGTATGGATCGAGTAACTTCAATAATATTACCGTAGGTTTGAAATGACGATGTTGAACTGATGTAAACGCCATTCTCACGATATAAAATTTAACTCTGCGCATGCGCAGCACTGAGAGAGCATGTGCCCATGATTGTTCACGTGATCGAATCCTGCAATTTGATTGGAGATGATGCAAGAGATGATGTAATGGGGAATCCCCGAATACGATAGAATATGAAAGAATTATGGGAGCTACTCACTCCTCCTGATATAGCTATAATTGTGAATAAGGCCTCCAGCTATGATTTTCCTACGATCTTTTGTAAAATCGTCTCTGTGTACTGTAACGTGACTAATGAGACAAATGAATGGGTTCATTTTTCAACTTTGCACTAGCAAATATCTGAGAGGTCAGATCCTTAAAGTTGACGCTGACCTTAGGCTTTCCAATGGTGTATTGGAACCTAAGAGCAAATAGCGTCATTTTCTTGATCCCAGTTTTTTCTGCTATATCACGTGCCATGTTTTGCATGCCTAGTCCTCTTAATTATTTAGATGATATCAAGCAATCTCTATTAATCAAAATTGCATGTTTTCCCAAATTTCACCTATGCTCTCTGGCTTTCCTTCTACGAGAATAAACATGTATTGATTCAAGCGTGATCTGTCTAAATCCTTATATTCTTCCCATGGCAACTTGATTCCCCAAAGTCCGTCAATCCCTGTCAATTTGGTGCTGTCTTTATGCTTTATTCCCGCCTTTTTGGCTAGAATCCCTGTTATATAAACATCATCCACTTTAAGAAACCTTGTGTAGTTAAGCAATGTGTGTATCCTCATCAAGGCATTTCTCGAAAGCACAAAGGCCATTCCTGGGCAAAAATCGGGATATATATCTGGTTCATGAACATCATACTCATCTTCCGAGACGTAATTTTTATGTAGTTCATTTCGGATGACTCTGTCTCCATATATCACCCTGCACATCAATAGGTTTTTTGTCTCATTCTTTATCTCCAGTTCCTCAAGTTGTTTAATGAGAATCGGAATGTTTACAAATACATCATCATCTGTCTTAATAATGAACTTTGCATTTGAGCAATAGGCATTGACCCAATTTAGCCCCATCCTAGCCTTATATGTAAGATTAAGATAGGTGTCTCTGAAGGTCCCTTGTATGATGTCATGGTGAATGGTGCTTTCATTATGTATACCCTCATTGATTTGATCGTCATTGCTATGTCCTAATAAGAACACCATTGTAATTTTGTAATCCCTATACTGCTTCTTGCCTCCCCAGGTTGAACGTATTATATCCCTGTGGTTCTTATGATTCGGCGCAGTATGGATGTAGAATAGTATGTCCGCATTAGTATCCCGACAAATACTTTCCTCGTTAATGATGTAACTTGATTTGAACCAACTATCATCATATCTAATACTCATCTTCCTAGTATTCTTTGAAGACTTATGCTTCAATTCCCTTGTTATTAAAATACAAACAAACATACCCATAACTGTAGCGGTCACTAATCTTTGACAGAGCCTCATTTTTATTTTATGATTAAGTATGCGTTAGCACGAAGTTGTCCGGTTTTTTAAAACATCCACCTTAGTTTTTTGCTTCAAATGAGCTAATTTGGTCAACGTATAGAAAACTGTACGACAGTTTTTTGACGTTCGTAGGTTTGGCGTGTCCAAGTTGTTTCAATAAATATATCACATCAATGAACGGTGTCTTTATAAACTCTACATTAGGCCTAAGGTCTCGTCAATATTCCGTTTCGTGATTTACATGACCTTAAATGAAGCCCGTCTTAAATACATTCGATCAATAAATTCAATTCTTCAAAATTACAAAATGTTAAATGTGCAATAGAACATGTTATTCAAAAGGAATATTTGTAAAGTCCTTATGTTGTGTATTGAAGCCCGTCGTTTTAACACCAATAACATTGAATTTGGAGTTTTTGTTGATCGATTTTTCAGAACCATATCTCAAAACTTAGTTGAGAGTAATCAAAAATCGAATTGCCTGTTCCTCAGCTACATGATAAAGATATATGAAAAAGATATGATAATACAGGGTGTCCAAAAAAACAGGACCGTAAGAAAGTTGAATAACTCGGTCAATTTTGCATATTTTGCCTTAAAATTTTAGAATTATTTAGTTCATTCAATGTGAATTGTGTTCTGAAAGTTTGATGATAGTCTGTTAATTCTGTCAAAAACTACAGTACTTTACAAAACATGCTTAAAGTGGGCACTTCTCTCTATGCACACACGAATCCTGCGACCAAAGTTGTTAATGACCATGACCTTTACACATTAATGTGGGAAGTTATTGCGCTCTTAGATTGTTAGGGGCCTGTCAGTATACACATTGGCTTTGAGAAATCCTCAAAGATAAAAATTTGGGGGATTTAGATCTGGCTAATGAGCTGTCCATATGGTTTGCGTTCTGCAACTGATGAACTGACCACCAAAGCATTGTCTAAACCATTTCAGCATATCATTTGCAGTGTTGGGGTGGTATTGGCTTGTTGAAACCACTGCTTAATTATGTCCTTAGATGACCCTTCTGGTGCTTAATGACCTCCAAAACTTGGTGAGAACTTACTGGTCCTTGTTCTTGTTGTTTTTCGGGACATGCGGAAACTGAAATGCTAATCTATCCCTTATTATCTTATACACAATCAGGGCCAGTAAGGGCCTTTAAAAAGGGGGACCATAATCCCCGGGGGACCATAATTTCTTTGTTACCGGACTGGCTTCAATATGCCCATTGTGTTGTGGTTCCTTAAATGTTGATTATTTTTAGATTATTAGTATTTTTCTGCATTTTGAATTGAGGGCATATAAGGAATATGCATGGCTCCTGAATTAAATAAAGGACCCAAGATCCTGCGCTAACACAGTGAATTGTAACCATAGGTTCTGGGCCGATATAAAGATGGCAGCACCAACAGAATCCAGTATTAACTTTTTTTATTTTCTTTTTTTTTGTTTTTTTATTTATTTATTTATTCATGTAATATCATTATGATTAAGTATTACATTTACACACTAGATACCCATAGGGGGTATATCAGTGCATTATCAAAATTTGAAAAACCATAAAGGTGTACAATTTATATGAGTTGAACATGAATACATACAATTTATAATAATACATGTTATAAAATATTAAAATATACAATTACTGCCTGCATGATAAATCCATGAGTGAAATTATAAACATTATGGATACAACACAATGTGGAAAAATAACATTACATGCTCACAGCTTATAGCTCAATAACAATTTATCCATATTTTTGTAATTATATTTAAAGGAGTGTAGAGAGGGTAGAGATTGAAGGGAAGTTGGCAATTTATTCCATATCATTGATCCAGAGTATTGAACTGATTTCTTTGTTAAGTTTGATTTAAATCTACATGGAATTATATGTCGTATTTGTCTTGTGAGGCGAGGGTGTTTAAAATTAAAATACTGTTTGAATAGATGGGATGGAAAAAGTGCAGGCTCTTTTACAATGTTAAACATGAATTTTGCTTTTTCTAACTTGTGAATATCAAATATGGTTAAAATATGAAGTTGCTTGAATAATGGTAAACTTGCATGATATATATCTTTTAAAGATAATTTAACGAATTTCTTTTGAATTGCATAAATTTTTTCTAATAAGAATTTGTTGGCATTTCCCCATATAATATTGCAATATGAAATGTGAGAATATATAAGAGAGTAATAGATATCTAGTAAAGCTGTCAAATTTAATTTATAACGCACTTTATAAAGTATACCTAGTGTTTTTGATATTTTTGAAATAATATAAGATATATGTTCATTCCAATTGAGTTTATTGTCTATTATTACACCAAGAAAATTTGTTTTTTTCCACACGTTCAATGGTAATTTTATCAATCATTAACTGCTATTGTGGATCATTGAGTTTAGCTTTTTCATAAATAAACACAGATCGATTACCATTCCATCTTTATTTAAAGATTATTTCTATCGACCTAAGCCTATGATTGTAACCACGTTGTAATATTTAAAGATTTTTACATCAAAATCTGCTATTTCTCGGATATACATCCTCCTAAGCAGGTGTTCAGAATCCGTACCTCCTTCTTGCCCCGGTAAAAAGAAAGAATATATTCTGGATTTTGAAGCCCTGTGATCGGAGGATGCGGATATAGGGTGTACTTGGGAATGGCGATGACAAACCATATAGGCACTCTTAGATACATACTCTGGGTATACATAAAATGAATTTTGATATGATTTAATATGAATAGCAGTTTTAATTTATGTGGCCAATATTGACGGACGGATGTACTGTACAGATCAACGGACAGACAATTTCATTGTATATTAAACATAAACACATCAACAGCAAAACATTTAACGAATGCATACACATGATCAATGTTCATCAAAGGGCATATGCTTATTTCTCAGATTTCTTTGACGTTCTATCTCCGTGTCAGAGCATGACGTGTGGGAGGTGAATACGATTTTCGAGAGCGGGATTGGGCGGGACAATGCGATTTTTCGATATCATAAATATTCCCGGGTGTTATTCACCGGGAAGTATAGTATCAAGGGATAATTACGCGTAATTACTGAATATTAACTTTAAGATGTAAGAATATTGATAATCATTTAAAATAAGACCAATTCATTTGTGATTTATATACAAATGGTTAATTTACTGCTTTGAGTTCAATTCTATAACCGTGGCGATTTTTACGCGTGGATTGTCACAGTTTCACACAAGAGTGGTAATGCTGGTAATTTCGAAAACCCTTTTTTGTTATAGAGTGCTGCTAACTCGATAAAAGCCTGGCGCTGGCTAGAATTGTCTATGGTTCTAGCCAGGATAAAGATACCAGTTCTTCAACTCGACAATGGGAAGAACTGCTCTACCTTAGTGACTAATATGTCATGATATGACATCTAAAGAGTCAATAAAAGATATATATGAGGGAGACGAGTGGACACATTGTTTTCTTGGAAAGTGTCCCTTTTCCCACACGACTACTGTCAATGTATGAGTAACGTCATCGGGTCGATTTTCACAAGCAAAACGGTGATTTTTCAGAATTTTCCAGGGTGCTCATCTTAATTCAATCACAACTATTATCACGATTTGTAACACGATGGTCTGATAAACTGAACCAAAGGATGGATAACCACGGATAATTCATTTTCGGTTACCTGTATTTTACATTTTTTTCATAGGGGTGGTAGGATCAAAAACACATTCCAAAATTATTTTGTTGCATGATTATCTTTGCGATTCTGTCGTCTAGATTGTAAGCTTAACTTACCAAAATACAGTGTAGATCTATTATTTTTCGAATCCGAGAATGGTCCAACAAATCTTTACTGTGTGCGGTGTAACGGTGTAAAACAATTAAAGTAACTTTCTATGATTTCATCTAAAAATTAAAACCCTTGGAAATACTAAATATGGTTTAAGTGCCATATATAAAAATTTATTTTAGAAATATTGTGGATCAAAATGAAAAAAAACAAAAATAAAGAATAAAAACATATTCCACCGGAGGGATTTGAACCCAGATCTTTTAGAATAAAACTTTGTTTGAGCCAAAAGCTCTAACCACTACACCAAACTGCCAAAGCTCCTGAAGGGAGAAATTCTTTATCTATATAATCATGGACGAAAAAAGTCTTATTTACATGCTTAAATTTCTTAAAAATTGTCAGCATTACTATTAATAATAACATTTTGCATGTCGGAGTAAGTATTTTGATCTACATTTAGGATAAATGTTGTTTTATTCAGTTTTCATTTTGGATATGACTTCCTGTCAAAATAGTGTTAAAAATGCAGGGCTCAACAAAAAGTTTCAATTAGAAAATGATATATATCCTTTGATCAGCTGTTTTTGGCACCTGAACTCATCCTACTAGAAAGGTAAGAGCATTTTCTTGAGACATATGGCTCGAAATCTCACATTTCTCCTTCTAAGTCTTAGAAAGACACTTTAACATATCTGACACCCTCTGCAGGTGCTTGGGGTTGTGTGACATACGTGCTGTCGTCACACCCTGAATGAATTTTCTCTATCCGAACAGAACCAAAGTTAAAAGATTCGACCATTTATTACCGAGATATGGCATGTTTTCAAAGGCGTGTACGTTGTCCTGTTACATCAACGAGTTCACGAAATTCTCAACTTATTAGCGAGGTATCAAAGCTATTTACAACCGGAGGGATCAAAAAGTATGTTGACCGAATTTAGATAAAGGCAATTTATTTTAGAATACATAAAACAAAGAGAAAAAATAATTTAGTTTCAGCTATTTTCAATTACTATTTCATGTAAAATCGCCATTTTTAACAGTTATTGGTTTTCAATGTCACATTAGTGAGCTTTTGTTATCGCACATTTGTTTGTAATAGCGTTCCTCAGAGACATAAAAAACATCTGACCTTTATTGACATTCAAGGCAATGGAACAGCTTCTTTGCATTTGAATGTTTTGTATTTGATCAAGTATTGAACAAAAGCAGATTTCTTCTCAAAGTTTAACTAAGTTATTATTATTAGTAGGAGTCATTGTGAATGGAAAGAAATTGCTAAAACTGCTGAATGCGATTGCTATAGCAACATATCCAAATCACTATATAGCTAAGGCCTCCGAACTCCCGTGCAGTGGTATATCACTGCGGCGGGCAGGTATCTCACCGTAAGCATGGTAACTTCGTAATAAACAACTGACGTGATTGGTTTCGTAAGGCCTCCAGCTATGATTTTCCTGCGATCTTTTGTAAAATCGTCTCTGTGTACTGTAACGTGACTAATGAGACAAATGGATGGGTTCATTTTTCAACTTTGCACTAGCAAATCTCCGAGAGGTCAGATACTTAAAATTGACGCTCACCTTAGGCTTTCCAATGGTGTATTGGAACCTAAGAGAAAATAGAGTGTCATTTTCTTGATCCCAGTTTTTTCTACTATATCGATCACGTGCCATGTTTTGCGTGCGTAATCCTCTTAATTATTTAGATGATATCAAACAATCTCTATTGATCAAAATTGCATGTTTTCCCAAATTTCACCTATGCTCTCTGGCTTTCCTTCTACGAGAATAAACATGTATTGATTCAAGCGTGATCTGTCTAAATCCTTATATTCTTCCCATGGCCACTTGATTCCCCAAAGTCCGTCAATCCCTGTCAATTTGGTGCTGTCTTTATGCTTTATTCCCGCCATCTTGGCTAGAATCCCTGTTATGTAAACATCATCCACTTTAAGAAACCTTGTGTAGTTAAGCAATGTGTGTATCTTCATCAAGGCATTTCTCGAAAGCACAAAGGCCATTCCTGGGCAATAATCGGGATATATATCTGGTTCATGAACATCATACTCATCTTCCGAGACGTAATTTTTATGTAGTTCATTTCGGTTGACTTTATCTTCATATATCACGCTGCACATCAATAGGTTTTTTGTCTCATTCTTTATCTCCAGTTCCTCAAGTTGTTTAATGAGAATCGGAATGTTTACAAATACATCATCATCTGTCTTAATAATGAACTTTGCATTTGAGCAATAGGCATTGACCCAATTTAGCCCCATCCTAGCCTTATATGTAAGATTAAGATAGGTGTCTCTGAAGGTCCCTTGTATGATGTCATGGTGAATGGTGCTTTCATTATGTATACCCTCATTGATTTGATCGTCATTGCTATGTCCTAATAAGAACACCATTGTAATTTTGTAATCCCTATACTGCTTCTTGCCTCCCCAGGTTGAACGTATTATATCCCTGTGGTTCTTATGATTCGGCGCAGTATGGATGTAGAATAGTATGTCCGCATTAGTATCCCGACAAATACTTTCCTCGTTAATGATGTAACTTGATTTGAACCAACTATCATCATATCTAATACTCATCTTCCTAGTATTCTTTGAAGACTTATGCTTCAATTCCCTTGTTATTAAAATACAAACAAACATACCCATAACTGTAGCGGTCACTAATCTTTGACAGAGCCTCATTTTTATTTTATGATTAAGTATGCGTTAGCACGAAGTTGTCCGGTTTTTTAAAACATCCACCTTAGTTTTTTGCTTCAAATGAGCTAATTTGGTCAACGTATAGAAAACTGTACGACAGTTTTTTGACGTTCGTAGGTTTGGCGTGTCCAAGTTGTTTCAATAAATATATCACATCAATGAACGGTGTCTTTATAAACTCTACATTAGGCCTAAGGTCTCGTCAATATTCCGTTTCGTGATTTACATGACCTTAAATGAAGCCCGTCTTAAATACGTTCGGTCAATAAATCGAATTCTTTAAAATTACAAAATGTTAAATGTGCAATAGAACATGTTATTCAAAAGGAATATTTGTAAAGTCCTTATGTTGTGTATTGAAGCCCGTCGTTTTAACACCAATAACATTGAATTTGGAGTTTTTGTTGATCGATTTTTCAGAACCATATCTCAAAACTTAGTTGAGAGTAATCAAAAATCGAATTGCCTGTTCCTCAGCTACATGATAAAGATATATGAAAAAGATATGATAATACAGGGTGTCCAAAAAAACAGGACCGTAAGAAAGTTGAATAACTCGGTCAATTTTGCATATTTTGCCTTAAAATTTTAGAATTATTTAGTTCATTCAATGTGAATTGTGTTCTGAAAGTTTGATGATAGTCTGTTAATTCTGTCAAAAACTACAGTACTTTACAAAACATGCTTAAAGTGGGCACTTCTCTCTATGCACACACGAATCCTGCGACCAAAGTTGTTAATGACCATGACCTTTACACATTAATGTGGGAAGTTATTGGCAAAACTGCCCTAATTCACGTCACCATACTAGTCAATGGGCAAAAGGGCAAACGCCTGGCTTTTTATCTCGAGTTATGGATTTATGTGGCCTCACTGGCCTATCTGAGGTTCTAAAGCTATGTCTAAGCTACATCTTGACACTAAACTCAATAGGGGCCAATCTCTACTTTTTGAAATAATTGGTCAATTGTGACACTACCCCCTCTCTCTGCAGACACAAATTGAAATTCACAAAAATGAAGGCAAAATTAATACGCCACTTGACTCGAAATTTTCCTTCAGATAACCCAAATAAACGCATTTTCAGAAGAAATGGCATGTTGCCATTGCAAAAAGATTACAACTGTGCCTACATACTAGCTTACTGACTCGTCATGATCACAATTGTGTTGGGACTACATTTATTTTTGAATACTACTTTTTTCTATTCAGCGGAAGTGACGTATTAGGGCATTTTGGCCATTGCGCTCTTAGATTGTTAGGGGCCTGTCAGTATACACATTGGCTTTGAGAAATCCTCAAAGATAAAAATTTGGGGGATTTAGATCTGGCTAATGAGCTGTCCATATGGTTTGCGTTCTGCAACTGATGAACTGACCACCAAAGCATTGTCTAAACCATTTCAGCATATCATTTGCAGTGTTGGGGTGGTATTGGCTTACTCGAGTCTCTAGCCAATACTTGGCTAGAGGGGATTGCATCTGGAATACTGTGAACTCTATTTGAAAAAAGCATGCCGGGGTGTCATAAATTTATTGAATATTTTAAAAATCGCCAGATAAATAAATCATTAACCAAACCGGACCCAGCTCGGTTCCTTGATGAGATATTACATGATTTCATCAGGATTTCGTCTAAAATTAAAACAAAATGGCTCCAAGAAAAATGGCGATGTTCGAAAACTGGACGAAATGTCGTTAACGTCTGACATTAGTAACTGGCTGTAAATTCTAAGTTAGCGATCCAGAAGATGTGAACTAATACACTGATCACTTTATGTGTGTTTTGGAATTTTTGGTGAGGTAATAAGACCAAAACTCGCAATTCAAATTGTGATGTGGAAAAATGGCGGACATATGATTTCAAATTTTATGATTACGACATGACCAGTTGTTCATGCAGAAATATATCTGTACTGGAAGGCCACGATACAGTGGCCTTAGAAGAAGGTAAGTATTGGCTTGTTGAAACCACTGCTTAATTATGTCCTTAGATGACCCTTCTGGTGCTTAATGACCTCCAAAACTTGGTGAGAACTTACTGGTCCTTGTTCTTGTTGTTTTTCGGGACATGCGGAAACTGAAATGCTAATCTATCCCTTATTATCTTATACACAATCAGGGCCAGTAAGGGCCTTTAAAAAGGGGGACCATAATTTCTTTGTTACCGGACTGGCTTCAATATGCCCATTGTGTTGTGGTTCCTTAAATGTTGATTATTTTTAGATTATTAGTATTTTTCTGCATTTTGAATTGAGGGCATATAAGGAATATGCATGGCTCCTGAATTAAATAAAGGACCCAAGATCCTGCGCTAACACAGTGAATTGTAACCATAGGTTCTGGGCCGATATAAAGATGGCAGCACCAACAGAATCCAGTATTAACTTTTTTTATTTTCTTTTTTTTGTTTTTTTATTTATTTATTTATTCATGTAATATCATTATGATTAAGTATTACATTTACACACTAGATACCCATAGGGGGTATATCAGTGCATTATCAAAATTTGAAAAACCATAAAGGTGTACAATTTATATGAGTTGAACATGAATACATACAATTTATAATAATACATGTTATAAAATATTAAAATATACAATTACTGCCTGCATGATAAATCCATGAGTGAAATTATAAACATTATGGATACAACACAATGTGGAAAAATAACATTACATGCTCACAGCTTATAGCTCAATAACAATTTATCCATATTTTTGTAATTATATCTAAAGGAGTGTAGAGAGGGTAGAGATTGAAGGGAAGTTGGCAATTTATTCCATATCATTGATCCAGAGTATTGAACTGATTTCTTTGTTAAGTTTGATTTAAATCTACATGGAATTATATGTCGTATTTGTCTTGTGAGGCGAGGGTGTTTAAAATTAAAATACTGTTTGAATAGATGGGATGGAAAAAGTGCAGGCTCTTTTACAATGTTAAACATGAATTTTGCTTTTTCTAACTTGTGAATATCAAATATGGTTAAAATATGAAGTTGCTTGAATAATGGTAAACTTGCATGATATATATCTTTTAAAGATAATTTAACGAATTTCTTTTGAATTGCATAAATTTTTTCTAATAAGAATTTGTTGGCATTTCCCCATATAATATTGCAATATGAAATGTGAGAATATATAAGAGAGTAATAGATATCTAGTAAAGCTGTCAAATTTAATTTATAACGCACTTTATAAAGTATACCTAGTGTTTTTGATATTTTTGAAATAATATAAGATATATGTTCATTCCAATTGAGTTTATTGTCTATTATTACACCAAGAAAATTTGTTTTTTTCCACACGTTCAATGGTAATTTTATCAATCATTAACTGCTATTGTGGATCATTGAGTTTAGCTTTTTCATAAATAAACACAGATCGATTACCATTCCATCTTTATTTAAAGATTATTTCTATCGACCTAAGCCTATGATTGTAACCACGTTGTAATATTTAAAGATTTTTACATCAAAATCTGCTATTTCTCGGATATACATCCTCCTAAGCAGGTGTTCAGAATCCGTACCTCCTTCTTGCCCCGGTAAAAAGAAAGAATATATTCTGGATTTTGAAGCCCTGTGATCGGAGGATGCGGATATAGGGTGTACTTGGGAATGGCGATGACAAATCATATAGGCACTCTTAGATACATACTCTGGGTATACATAAAATGAATTTTGATATGATTTAATATGAATAGCAGTTTTAATTTATGTGGCCAATATTGACGGACGGATGTACTGTACAGATCAACGGACAGACAATTTCATTGTATATTAAACATAAACACATCAACAGCAAAACATTTAACGAATGCATACACATGATCAATGTTCATCAAAGGGCATATGCTTATTTCTCAGATTTCTTTGACGTTGACTCTATCTCCGTGTCAGAGCATGACGTGTGGGAGGTGAATACGATTTTCGAGAGCGGGATTGGGCGGGACAATGCGATTTTTCGATATCATAAATATTCCCGGGTGTTATTCACCGGGAAGTATAGTATCAAGGGATAATTACGCGTAATTACTGAATATTAACTTTAAGATGTAAGAATATTGATAATCATTTAAAATAAGACCAATTCATTTGTGATTTATATACAAATGGTTAATTTACTGCTTTGAGTTCAATTCTATAACCGTGGCGATTTTTACGCGTGGATTGTCACAGTTTCACACAAGAGTGGTAATGCTGGTAATTTCGAAAACCCTTTTTTGTTATAGAGTGCTGCTAACTCGATAAAAGCCTGGCGCTGGCTAGAATTGTCTATGGTTCTAGCCAGGATAAAGATACCAGTTCTTCAACTCGACAATGGGAAGAACTGCTCTACCTTAGTGACTAATATGTCATGATATGACATCTAAAGAGTCAATAAAAGATATATATGAGGGAGACGAGTGGACACATTGTTTTCTTGGAAAGTGTCCCTTTTCCCACACGACTACTTTCAATGTATGAGTAACGTCATCGGGTCGATTTTCACAAGCAAAACGGTGATTTTTCAGAATTTTCCAGGGTGCTCATCTTAATTCAATCACAACTATTATCACGATTTGTAACACGATGGTCTGATAAACTGAACCAAAGGATGGATAACCACGGATAATTCATTTTCGGTTACCTGTATTTTACATTTTTTTCATAGGGGTGGTAGGATCAAAAACACATTCCAAAATTATTTTGTTGCATGATTATCTTTGCGATTCTGTCGTCTAGATTGTAAGCTTAACTTACCAAAATACAGTGTAGATCTATTATTTTTCGAATCCGAGAATGGTCCAACAAATCTTTACTGTGTGCGGTGTAACGGTGTAAAACAATTAACATATCTGACACCCTCTGCAGGTGCTTGGGGTTGTGTGACATACGTGCTGTCGTCACACCCTGAATGAATTTTCTCTATCCGAACAGAACCAAAGTTAAAAGATTCGACCATTTATTACCGAGATATGGCATGTTTTCAAAGGCGTGTACGTTGTCCTGTTACATCAACGAGTTCACGAAATTCTCAACTTATTAGCGAGGTATCAAAGCTATTTACAACCGGAGGGATCAAAAAGTATGTTGACCGAATTTAGATAAAGGCAATTTATTTTAGAATACATAAAACAAAGATAAAAAATAATTTAGTTTCAGCTATTTTCAATTACTA